ATGCATTACAACATCTGGATCTTTCAAACATTCAGGAGGAGACGCCCGTCACGACAGTGCGCTCCTGCCCTGCAAGCACTTGCAGGACTGAGCGGATAGCCTTGCAAGAAGACACATGCTGCAATATTCTTGTGTGGTATCTTACAGACAAAGACATATGCGTCTAGTACATATGTAATACATTGTAGTCGCCTGTTGACAGAACCATCACAGTCTAGCATCCATGCACCAGGCGTCGATTGCTGGATGACTTTGGATGCGCACCTTGCCAGCTGGGACTTAGAGTCAGGCTTTGCAGCTCAATGCTTGTGTGTGCACAATGCTCTTCATCTCTTCATCTAGGGCTTCCACACTTTGCAGCTAAGGTTAGAATCGCATCCGAAGGCAAAGCGAAGAGTCTTTGCAGATTGAAGTTTGTCAAGAATCCAAGAAAGCTGACTTGCTACATACACATGGTACCTTGCATAGGTTGGAAGAATCTACTGTGTTGATGCACAATCATTGCGTCCCATGCTGTAGCATCCTAAATATATTAAAGATTTGCATCAGAAACTAAAACAGCGATCGAACCTATAAACCCGACCTCAAGTTATAGTATAATGATAAGGTATAAAACGTATACATTATAAAACCTAACTATATAAAACCTATACATTATACTATAATCTCAAGTTATAGTATTAACCCTGCATCTTCCTAGTTGTGGCTTTGTTTAGTCTGCGAAGGGAACACGTACTTTTTTAGACCCTCCCAATGCGGAATTCTGCGATTTTTGTCAGGTTTTGCAAGGATTTACAGCTTCGGCCCTTGATTTGTTCTGCAGCATTGGTTCGCACAAAAACTCAAGCCCAAACATACCCCAATTCAGCCATCGGCCTGAGAATGTGTCGGGTTGCAAAAACCAAACGTTTGGCACGGACTTTTTTACCCAAGCAAAAGACAATTTTCCCAATACACAGATCACACAGGAGTTTTTTCCATACCGGGCTTTTGTCCTCCTTTTTGGAGACTTGGCATTGAAGTGTCAAGTCGGTTTGGGGTGTCATGGATACGGAATCGTTCATGCAAAGGCCCATAGGCGGACTCATTTTTTGCCAATTCAATCCCCGGACATTTTTTCTAGCCTCGGAGTCTTCTTGTTTCCCCGCATCAACATTTTGTGGTATTCTGGCCTCGGATTGGAACAACACATACCTGAAGTTCCAGGTATGTGTCAGGTGTTGAATTCTCTGGAAAGACTTTCGGCAATTAAAGATTAAAGCCCACACTGTGACACAGCTACAAACCTGACCCAAAGGTCACATCTTTCAAGAAAGATGTCACCAGATTCCAAAACCTTGTGAACGAAGACGTTCCGACATGCTGATCGTGTACTGTAGCGGTCCATTTTTCGATGCTCTTCTTGGGAACATTCCATTTTTCGATGCGCTGCTTGGGATCTTCCTAGTAGCTTGTTCTTCCTAGTAGTAAGGCCGGCAGCCCCTAGTAGCGATGCCCTTGCTCCTAGTCTCCCAGTAGCTTCTTCCTCCCCCCGTGGACTCACCGCCTCCAGCGCTCCAAACCTGGCCGTGGCCAGACCTGCTGGGATACTTCCTCAGCCGCTTCGACACGGACACCGTCACCCGGTTATGCCAAGGTTCGACGGCGCGACGGAACCGGTGGCTCCACAGGGCTTCACCACCACGTTGGATGATCACATGTTGGGTACAAGATGACCCATGCATGTGGCATGGGCTTGTTGGTGGGTTGAAAGCACCCCAGGTAGGAGTAGGTGACTTGATGTGCCACAGTTCTTCTCTATATTCTCCACTTGACGAGTTGAGATCACGGAGTTGACCCAGGATTCCCTGCACCAGTACCCAGTGGCACAGGTTTGCACATCATTTAAATGATTTGCACATCATTTAAATGATTTGCACATCATTTAAATGATTTGCACATCATTTAAATGATTTGCAGGAGAGCGGCTCGTATTCAGGGAGTGGCCAAATGCCTCAGTATAATCAGTGTGTGTATGTAATGTAATGCAATGCTATGCAATGCAATGCAATGGTATGGTATGTAATGTAATGTATTGTATTGTATTGTATTGTATTATGTATTGTATTATGTATTATGTATTGTATTATGTGTTATGTATTGTATTATGTATTGTAATGTATTGTAATGTATGGTAATGTATGGTAATGTATGTATGTGGTGTGTGGTGTGGTGTGGTGTGGTGTGGTGTGGTGTGGTGTGGTGTGGT